CATGTGATATCAGAATTCACAATACCATGATTAATAAAACTAAAAACAATACACAACCTAATTAATAAATAAAAAGTTCATACATGACCATTAACCGCAAAAATAAAAATTGTATTAATTTAATAAGATGAGTGGACCTCTTATTATTGACATAATATTGACTAATATTGACATATTATACGAAGAATCAATGGGTTAGGTCATGTATCCCTTATCACAAAAAGCCTAATGCCTAAAATTACAATTTGAGAATTATGTACTTTTTAAGGGTACTTATCACAATCAAAGAATAAATCCCTGAAACATAAAGAAATGATAGGTTTTCCTGACAACTCAGTAGTCAGTTTACAAAAAGAACACAATAGTGCTACATATTTAGCTTGGCTGTACATGTGTACAGAATCATACTCAAGTTATGGGTTAGGATATATGTACCTTTTTCCCAAACAGCATATTTCTGCTCATGAACTTTTTCCTGATATGGAACAGTAAAATGATTTAGGTGAGAGTCCCTCAAATTGAAGATGACAATCATTCTGAAAAAGAATTCATACAGTGATTAACATTTTATACACCTGGACAAATATATAGTCAATATTTTTATTAAAAATTATGTGTTTGAAGCACACAGTCACCAAAGAATGAATTGATTTTGAACATTCATACACAATGCAATCACAGTTAATAGCTATGAACTGCCAAACACCCTTTTTTTATCAAGAATACTTTAAAATTAAATCTAAACAATACTTGCCATCTATAATATGAAACTTGAGAACCCACCTCTTCTTCATGGCAGAGCCTTTAATTTTCTCATGGTAGGCTGAGTAGCTTGAGCCTATACAAAAGAAATTGAACATTTTATACGAATACATTTGACAATAATGACTCCCGAGCAAGTCAAGCACTAAATAAATAAAATAATGTAAATGTTTGTTCAAGTAACATTTCACGATACTTATTATTTGATTTTTTAAAAATGTGCTTGTACCAAAGAACTTTGGGATCCTCAGTCATGTTTTGTCGTCTTCCTTGCCCCGTCTTGATGTTTTCCCTTCAACAATCTGCATACTGATTTCACTCAACCTGTATTTTAACAAAATGGACACAATTAAAATACAAAATGTTATAAATAAAATAAACTTATTTGTCAATTTCGGAGTTGAAACTTTTCAGCCAAGGCATAAATACATCTGTAATTAAGTTTTATGACAACTGATTGTGTATATTCTCAGTAATTAGCAAAAACCCGGTTTCAGTATCAAATTCCCGGCCCGGCTCTGTTTTAACTACTCATTTTAATCCCACTACATGTCTATGGAAGGGAATTACCGCCAAAAGTTTATGTATCTTGCTTTTATTCTTATTCTGCCTACTTCTTTATGCTTTGTTATTATTGTAATTATATGTCACTTTATTGTTTTCATATTCGTCTTTATTACATTTCACTTTGACTTTTATCCTTCTTCATTTTGCCCTTACTTCTATGTTGCTTTATTCTTGTAAATTCATTTTACTTTCTTTTAAATTGATACAGTTTCTTAAATGATTATCTCTATTACGAACGTGAATTCAGTCACACAAAGAATGAAGTATATTCAATGAAGACGAATACAGTTGTCAAAATTTAGTGCTGCATTATAACGCTAGGTGGCAGGGGTATTCGCTACGAGTGTTGGTAAAACTAGGTAAGCAAACCCGGGCCGGGGTTATTCGAGGTTTTTTTTTTTTAATTTTCCGCCTTAATACTTTATCAATCGAACTAAAATTTTCAAATTATGTTTGTTATAAGTTCAGGTATGTACCCGAAAATGCCATTCCTTCGGAAGATGGTAAGATTTCCCCTGGAAGACTGACTACATAGTGGTGCTTCCTTCGGAAGACTATACAGTGAGACTTCCCCCAGGGAAGTTTCAATATATAGCTAGTCTTCCGTGGGAAAATCTCGCTGTATAAAATAATTCTTCCCCCTTCATAGCAACCCCTCCCCCGAATAGTTTTTTTAATCGTAAAATAATGTTTGCATACTAACGTTTTCAGTTTTTGAAGAAAACTTATCCGTCCTATATGAATAAATGTTTAAATGATATCATTTTAATAGTGGTTAATCATTAAATCATTTTAACCATTCAGTTAAACATAGATAATCTTCACGAGTACAAATGGATAATGACTTCCTTCTCCCCCCCCCCCACCCCCACCCCCCTGGTGCAGTCGCCTGCGTGGCACTGTGGTTACAGCGTCTGCTCTAGAGTCACGAAACACAGTAGTAAGGAGTCAATCAATACCACTATGGGACGTGCAGTTGGGTCCTTCTGATGAGATCTTAACCGTATTATCCGAGGTCCCGTATCGCAGTAGGTGCTGGCACGATAAAAGATCCCTCACTACTCAATGGCTATAAGTGCCGAGTATATAGGACAAATTTGCAGCTCTCCACCGGCAAGAGGTGGCTTCTCCATTTGAGTTAAAAATTCTCGAATTTAAAGGGACGTTATACAATGTACAATCATTATCACACCCCCAAGTCTCAATAAATATACTAACTTCCGTCTGTACGACCTCCTATGGGGTAAGTTTCACCGGTAGAGGGGAGGGTGGCCACGAAACATTTTCCTAAACGTAACAGACTTTCTACTACTGGAAAAGTTCAGCGAAAGGCTTGTTGCCCCCATCCCTCACACTTTTTCTTGCAGTACTAATAGTCAATTTATATATTAAATATTAAAAGTCATGTACTTAGTGGCATATGAGTAAAATTTGGTATTGAACACCACCGAATAGAATTTTCACGTTTTAAGATTTTTTTTTTACTCTTCTGGCTGATGTAAAATACGGTGCATACTAGAGATATTGCTTTTCTTAATTGAAAAGTGCTAATCAATATAAAATATTATAGCAGAAAAAAGACTGGGGAGTTTCTAGTATGCCTGGGGTGTAGCCTGGTTCCGACTTCGCCTACTCATAAAAACTCCTCACTCCTTTGCAAAGCCCCGTCCCTAGAATCACACGCATGAGCAGTTACTATCTGTCGTGAAATAAAGTTCAGTTCAGTGGAAGGTCCTGAAAAACAACTCAATTTATAAGGGGTAACTAGTATCAAAATATTTAACAGTTTATGTCAATTAAACTGGAATTCAATTATCAAACAAACAACTTTAATAGAGTTATATTTTTCAGGCGAGAGAACAGTGACGTAGAATCGTTTTTGAAAATTCAAGCTACCCGGCTGAAAACAATTTGAAAAGCAAAAAAAAAAAATAAATAAATAAATAAAAAATAAATAAAAAACAAGGAAATAGTCCAAACTTGAAAATACATAGGCGTCAGAACCGGGGAGGGGAAGGGGGGCTTAGCCCCCACTTTTTTTTTCCAAAGATAGACTTAGTATAGACATTGAACATTGCTGCGTAGGTTTAGCCCCCCCCCCCACTTTCCATCGACACGATGCAGTATAGGTATAGCGGTGGTGTTTTGAAAAGAAATTGACACTGAAGTTCGCACCTCCCCCCCCCCCCCCCCACGAAATAGGATTTTCGTGTTTGGACAGTGGACATTTCTTTTTCTTTTTTTTTCTGTCAAGTTTTTTTTTGAAGGCCCCCCCAACTTTCACTTAAAATGCTTTCGGGGCGGGGTGGGTTTGGGGTTAGATTCAACTTCCTCTATAGTATCAAATTTAAATTTTCTCCCTACTATACTACATTAACCTTATTTGACCCTTACCCTTACAAAAAGTGGGTCGGCCTTTCAATGAACATATTCAGTAATGTATATAAAGTTATGTCTGAAAAAAGAGGCCGCTATTCCTGTGTGCCCAGAGAAAATAAATGCGGAGTTTCCATCATTGGATCGGGTGATCGGATATCCGGTCCTTAGAAGTTCGATTTATAAAGTATTAAGGCAGAAAATTGAAAAAAACTCGAATAACCCCGACCGGGTTTGCTTACCTAGTTTTACCAACACTCGTAGCGAACACCCCTGCCACCTAGCGTTATAATGCGGCACTAAATTTTGATAACTGTATTCGTCTTCATTGAATATGCTTCATTCTTTGTGAGATTGAATTCACGTTCGTAATAGAGATAATCATTTAAGAAACTGTATCAATTTAAAAGAAAGTAAAATGAATTTAAAAGAATAAAGCAACATAGAAGTAAGGGACAAAATGAAGAAGGATAAAAGTCAAAGTGAAATGTAATAAAGACGAATATGAAAACAATAAAGTGACATATAATTACAATAATAACAAAGCATAAAGAAGTAGGCAGAATAAGAATAAAAGCAAGATACATAGACTTTTGGCGGTAATTCCCTTCCATACATGTCTTTGTTAATATTCCAGAGACATACACCTTTACAGAATAAACTGAAACCCATAAAGATTTAATCCCCAAATTATCAAAATACTAATCTAACATTCTGGCAGTAAATAACATATACAGCGTAGTTTTGCCTGACTTTCATTGTTTCACTACATGCACGATGTACTGATCATGATCTATGCTGAAAGTGAAAACGGCTGGAAATCGTAAACAAACCTGCAGTGCCTGCCAATCCGGGGGTTCAGCAGTTGTCAAGACAAGAATCTCCTTAAATCTAGATGAGGTTTCAAAAAAATTACAACAGGTTGCAACCTTCGTCAAAATAGCGATGCAGACCCGCTCCACTTGATTTGAAATGATTGGCTGTTCAACCGAATACACAGTGCCATATTTGGGTAACTTATCAGAGTACATCGTTCGTTTTACATTCGAGAAGAGTTTACATATTACTTGAATGAAGAGGATAACATAATACTGAGCTGAAAATTGTGTGTAAAGTATGTTTTAGTAGCTTACAATACAGACTGTAAATGTGCGGGAGATTTTATTGATACTGAAGCTTGTAAACAAAACCAATAAACGTAGGACTGATTCACGGCAATGTATGGGAACCAGTTTAAAAGGCAAAGAAAATTCCGCCAAGTAAACAACAAAGAAAGGGATTTGGGATGTTGTCAGTTATGTGCGACGGTGACTGCAAGGTAATACATGTGTCTTATTTGTTGCGAATAATACGTTTCATTTTTTTTTGGAAATTTATCCGTCCCAACACTGGCAGAAATATAATTAATCTGACTTCAAAATTCCTTCCTCTGTTCCCCTAAGTACATGTAACACTCTTCGCACTCATTTTTAAAAAAAAATTCATTGTTTTTTTTTTTTTTTTTTTTTTGGTAGAAACAAGGAATGTGGAGCTAATGCATGCTGCTAAGGATGGAAAGGTCTTGTGTTTATTGGTTGTGCCTGAGACACCAGTCACAGTTGTACCTTATTTCCATTTTAGGTACATATTGTATTTTGAGTTTTTTTAAGTAGAGGGAACACTGCATTTTTCATTCAATATAAATGTAAAATTCTAGAGATAATTTTTTTCACCATTGCTGGATACTCGCTACATGATTTTATCTATTTAGAAAAGTATTTAAATTATTTTCTCACATTTTTTAAAGAGGCCGGGTTTGGTGAAGAGATAATTCATTTTTTATTCAAAATTTTATTTTCCATGCATTTGTAGAGGGAGTCTATATACATTTGAGGTGAGCGACAGATTTGATTGTGAAGATGGATGACTCAGATGTTGTGATGAAGATTGTTGAAAGGGATTATCAACATAGAACCAATCCATATGATTGGGCAAGTCAGGTGAGGATTGGACTTCAACGTGTAATCAAGAAATGTTTATACATAATGTGTGATGGTGACTGCACTGTAATACATGTGTCTTATTTGTTACGAATAATTCGTTTCATTTTATTATGGAAATTTATCCGTCCCAACACTGGCAAAAATATAGTTAATCTGACTTCAAAATTCCTTCCTCTGTTCCCCCAAGTACATGTAACACTCTTCGCTCTCATTTTTAAAAAATTTTCATTGTATATTTTTTGTACAAGCAAGGAATGTGGAGCTAATGCATCCCGTCTGCTAAGGATGGAAAGGTCTTGTGTTTATTGGTTGTGCCTGAGACACCAGTCACAGTTGTATCTTATTTCCATTTTAGGTAATGTCTTTTGAGTTTTTTTAAGTAGAGGGAACACTGCATTTTTCATTCAATATAAATGTAAAATTCTAGAGATAACTTTTTTTTCACCATTGCTGGATACTCACTACATGATTTTATCTAAAGAAAAGTATTTAAATTATTTTCTCACGTTTTTAAAAGAGGCCGGGTATGATAAAGAGATAATTCATTTTTAATTCAAAATTTTATTTTCCGTGCATTTGTACAGGGAGTCTATATACATTTGAGGTGAGCGGCAGATTTAATTTTGAAGATGGGTGACATTCAGATGTTGTGATGAAGATTGTTGAAAGGGATTATCAACATAGAACCAATCCATATGAATGGGCAAGTCAGGTGAGGATTGGGCCTAAAAATAAATTATGTTTGTTTCCTGTAACCCGACCAACCCATTCAAATTACCCCCGGGTGGATTTTTATTTCCTGACAAATGGCAAAACTTCGTTTAATCAATCAGCTGATTCCATTTATTAAATTAAAACAATAGCTTGTAGCTTAATTTGAGACATAAAATATGTCAACCTAGTTTACATTTACCTTAAATATAAAGAGTAATCATTATTGTAACAACAGTTTCCCCCTACAACTTTCTGAAGTTCGTTTTCTGCCGCTAGGCAGCCATTTAGGATGTAATGTTGGGTGTCCACTGTAAATATAACACCTGGTATTTTCGGTCTGGGGATGTTTCCCATTCAAAAGCAAAAAAAAAAAAAAATTCCAACCTACCGACCCTTGATATTTTGGGAATGTTACAGGAAACAAACTTATTTTTTTTAATCCTTGGACTTCAATGTGTAATCAAGAAATGTTTATATATTGCTTAGCTTAGTGAAAGCATGCCACAAACATTTTAAGTATCTCAGTAAGTTTCATGGATATTACAGATGTGTCACTATCATGTTTGACATTGAGTCGCATTGTCTAAATTTCCATTATGTTTAGTCATACATGTTTTAAGTTACTTAAGTATGTCTTCAAAAGCTTGTGCTTTAATTTCAATAGAAGTAATGCAGGGTTTGACATTAAGGCACGTCTGACCGACTGAGTCTAGTAAAAGATAGGTCCGGTCGGGTAAAATGTCTGTGTACTAGACCGACTGGGCATGTAAGAAAAATAAAGGAACTTATTATATGTTTTTAAATAATTATTTATCATGTTTATTGCCGATGAAAAAATAAAACGTTTCTAACCGCAGAGTACAAAGAAAACCACATATGTTACAAACAGCATGACTGAAGTGCTATCAGTTCATACATGTATGTATTGGACATTCGTAACTACTCGGCCATTTTCCTAGAGAGAAACAATGAGCTATTTATTGTCTACGTAAACGGCTTAGTAGTTACGATTGTCATTATCAAAAGATTCACGTTTACGACGTCAGTAATCATGTAAATAACAATGAAACTATAATAATAAAATTATTCTTGCTAAACTTCTCTAAAATTCTCTGAACATTTTTAATGGCATCGAGTAATATTGTACATACAAATTGAGTAAACTAGGACTAAACACGACAAGCCACATGAATATGACCGAGTTTCAATGTGACGTGTGCGGGAAAATGTTGTTATTTCAATGTGGATTCTCATCATCTGCACAGAAAAAAACAATAATCACTTTTTTGTACTTTAATTATGTTTTCTCAAGTTTGGTCAGGGCTAGTGGTTAAAGGGTAAGGGCTAGTAAAAATGTGCCAGAGTAGCCCGACTGGTCTAGTATTCCAAAAGCTTAATGTCAAACCCTGTAATGAAAACCTCTTTAAAAATTGTTTTGTTTTTCTTTATAATTTTGAAAATTATTATTATTAGGACTTGTACAACACCTGAGTACCTAGATGACTGTTGAACTAATTGGTGAACAAGACAAGATGTCAGAGACGGGAATCCAATACACATGACATGATCAAGAATATCTACTCATTAATGATATGATCAAGAATATGTAAACTTGTAACGATTTAGAATATCTTATCTGTAAATCACTACTTTTCATTACTTAATTGTTCACACATGATCATCTACACTTATGACATAAATTTTATCTGTATATTAATCACCCTCTTATCTATACTCCCTGCTGATCGTAATGACCTGTGTATTGACTCCTGATCTTAAGGATCTTGTAATGTGCTCCTGATTGTCAGGAGCGGATCTTGAGTATATATATAGTGCGACAGAACTTTAGAATAAGATAGGAAGATGGAAATGTAGAAGACTTAGTAGATAGAACTGTTAGAGATATATAAAGTTACTCACTTACTTGGAATATTACCTAATATTTCTTGGATTTGAATGTACATGCAATTGTTTTACTTGGATTTTATTTTTTGTGAATTTTTTTTCCTGAATGTTTCTATTTGTGATGTGCTGTTAAGTAAACTGTAGACTAGAATTTCGGCATCTATTTTCAAGATATGAGAAACAAGGATAAATTAATTTATTCATGCAAACTGATATTATGAAATATGTTGTAAGACCACTAGGATGGATGTCCTGATCAAGAATATACACTGTTATCGATGATTTGATCAAGAATATGTAAACTAAGAAATATCTTGGAGATTTATAGATGAACATGCAAGCATTCATGATTTTGAATGTTATTCAGCCAGTGAGTTTTTGCACAAATTTAATTTTCAGTACAGTAATTTAAACTGGATGTGTAATTTTCAGTACAGTTATGTAAAATGAATATATGTTACTTATTATGATTGTCAAATTCTCAACAGTACATAATTGTAGTTTATTTATACGATCACTCTTGCAGAACAAAACACACAGAACTTTTTTTTCTCTGTGTGCATCATACACTTGTAAATGTTTTACACCACCATGTTTACATATTTTACACTGTTGACGTAAATCGAGCACACACATGAAAATGCGTATAGCTGGATACATGCAAACATGCATCTACCATAACCTATTACATATTTTCCAAGGTGTTTGAAGTCGAGCACATACATGAAAATGTGTGAAGCTGGACAACATACACAAATACAGATGCATCTGCCACAACCTATTACATATTTTCCAAGGCGTGTGAAGTCGAGCACATACATGAAAATGTGTGAAGCTGGACACATATGCAAACACACAAGCATCTACCACAACCTATTACATATTTTCCAAGGTGTGTGAAGTCGAGCACATACATGAAAGTGTGTGAAGCTGGACACATACACATATACCACAGACATAAAAACATAATCTAAACTAAGTCAGGCACAGACAGGCTCATTGGGTGAATCTGGACTCATACATGATCTCATGCATTTTGCAAAATGCATCCTGCACATATATATTCTAATAGATTTTTCATCATTTTTTGTGTTTGTGAATATGTAAAATGCATCATTTTGCATTACAAGTTGAAGATTTTATTCACCTGTATATAAGCGCAAATAAAATAGCCTTTTATGTAATTTTTTTTACTTTTGAATTCAATTCAAACTGCAAAGTTTATTTTATATATGTACATGCACCATAAAGAATAACGTAAATAATATTGTACCGGTATTATATTTTAAAGTGAAATGGGACCTCCATTTCATAAGCAGAAATGTGAAATTTATACTTGTCATCAGTATTTTTTTTTAATTTTGTCTCACATGTATCTGAATGTTTAAAGGAAAACAAAAGTCAAAGATAGCTCAATATAATGTTTATATTCAAGATCATAACTGGAGATTTTTTGTGCTGTATATCTGACTCATCATATGATGATGAGCCAAAATACAGAATACTTTAGGTCATTTTTGTTTGGAAAATGAAAATTATCAATATGCCAATTTTTCCCATTGTTATATTATTAATTAATATATTATTAATATCAATGTACATATAAAAAATCTATGCCATCCAATCCAGAGAGTTGTAGGCAATCCTGGTGCAGATAATATTTTTTTTTACCGTGTTTCGTAGTAGAGCGGGAACACATTGTATCGAGGAATGTATATTAATGGTTTTGGTTGTATATGTGGGCGTGGCCAAAGGAAGGCCAATGAGAAATGAGTATTCAGTAAGGTGTTCAAATCATTCTAAGCCAGTGCTCTTCAATACACACACATTTTTTTCTTGCTTTATACATGTATATAATATATATGTCATATTTGTATAAATATACTGGTAATGGAAATAACAAAACTGTTGAAATGTATTTTAATTTGGATTTTTTCATACATGCAAATATTATAGGGTGTTCGCGCATTTTTAACTATTGCACTGAATGCACATCCGGCATTCTCCCCTTGAGACATTATTTACATAGCGACGGACACAGGTTTTCCATAGTTAACCATCTATGGTTTTTGCTTGGGCGGTTTTTAATGTCTGTGATAGGGTTATAATTTATTAAAAGTAAAATATTTTACAAATGCATTCCAGTGCTTTATTGTTTCACATTCAATGTAATGTAAGTTAAATATGTATAAAAATAAACGCCAGCTGCTCCAACTAAGCTAACCTGGCTTACAGCATAGTTGTTGTATTATTTGAGGTGTAGTCTGTCAGATAATGATGAGTCGAGTGTTTGATTCTGTAGATGACCATTTCTAATGCTCATTTCAACTGGAAATGGATACAAGATAATTAAAAAAAATATCTTTGACATTTGTCTTAAAATTCTGGGTACTGACTAGATTAGATTCTTTAAACTACCTGTGAAAATCCAAAGTATAAGTGTATTAAACAATAGTCAGCATTTAAATAAGACTTTTATAAAATATGTATAATATTTAATGAGCTTTAATATGGCATTAAAGGTGAAAGGTTATATTTAATTATCATTTCGTGTAAGTAAAGGTTACCTTTTCACCTTTACTTTTTGTAAAGTTAATACAAAGATGACCTTGCTTTTTGGAGCACCTTTAATGAAATTTACTTCGAAAGTAAAGTTTTGTAAAGGTGTTTTTTCAAGCGGTGGTAGGTGCCCATGCCACAGTCCTGTCTGCATTCGTTCTCTTTCAAAATGGTTAATAAACTTACTCTAACAAGAGGTAAATTAAAAAAAAACTTTAAAATGTGCATTTGAAAACTAAGAATAAGACGTGCAAACGCGCATTAACAAAATATGAGGTGATCAAGTGCGATAGTAAGAAATAGTAGCAGATGAATGTCAGGTTAACCGGGACGCGAGATCTAAAATTAATATGTGTACCTCAATACTTCCCTGCATGACCGTAATTAAATCAATCTTTTCATATCAGATGTATTGGAAAATTATACATACCTGTACTGTTTAGATTTACTCCAAAATAAAGTACTGGTGAGTAGCAAAGCTTATACAGTACACATTTTCTTTGCCCCATTTCCCTCTTTCCTGACGAGAAGCAGACGACAAAAGCAACGTTTTTAAAGATTTCACATGGGCCGCAGTCCTCGACCAAAATAAAAACTAGTTTTTTCATGTGACATTTTATCATTAATTTCTCACTTTAAATATTTTGATTTTGGTCAATCCATGCGGCCACATAAAAATTTAACATTTCATGTTGATATTTTTCGTATTTTCACGGAATTTCTGGATCTATGTTCGGTTTGGATAATACATTTCTTACTTACAATGACCAAATCTGCCAATGTATTTATAAAAAAATAAACTACGGTTCCCAAGCTTTATATCTATGAATATATCAAACAGAATGAGTTTCGTTTGTATTTTGATTATAGACAGGGCCGCTAAACATAAACTACCGTACTTAGCTCTTTAACACGCTAGTCGCAAATGCTTCGTGCAATCATTTTCTCATCATTTTAGTGACTTTACAAGAAGGGAACAATAGTTTCAGTTTCAGTTCTCTATATGTATTATTAAAAGTGTGACACATATATTCGGTAGACCCTGTATAAAGAGAATTAGAATGCCTGTACTGTAATTTAATTATAAAACACCTGGAATATTTACTTTGTTTGTTTTGTTTGTAATAATGATTAAGTATAACATAGATATATGGTCATGAATTTTGTTTTTAAACAACCGTCAAATTACAGAATCTGAACATTTAAATTTATTTTACATCAAAATCATTTTGATTCGGTGGATTAAAGCATCCATAACCTAACAGTTATCAGATAAATGCATTTAGGTGTAAGGGGTGCGACAGAGTCTCTGCATACAACAATGTTTGTGTGTGAAAATGAAATCTAATATCCCCTGGGGCTATATACGTGGCGGGTACGGGTTACAGTTATTCTCTTTGCTATGTCAACTGAGACGTTCAGAACAATGACTCAGCTGAATGTTTGTGCAATATATGTCGTATGAAAAAAGGGACTTTCTTGTCCGGTCACTTAACCGAAATTTTATATTCTCTGCATTGATCATTATGTTGATGTAAATGTTGGTAAGAGAAAAGCACTGATGTGTAATCAACATTAATTAGAAAAATAAAGATACTCCATATCCTTCCATACGCACTTTGACCTGTTGCGATAACTTTACATAAAGGCATTTTTGCGCACAATGGTGATTTCGTATCAAGAGACTGCAGCAATACCGAGTGTCCTTGTTCGAGAAAAGACACTGGCATTATTTTATATATCGACTTCCTATTGAATACTTAGAACATATTTATGTGTTAGGTGATGATTTTGATTTGTATAACAATTTACTGCTTTTTATATACAAAGTTTATCAACCTTGTTTGGGCCAATAATAATACAGTGATTAATCATTTAGCGTAATTCAGCAATTATATAGAACTTTCAATATCAATAAAATCCTTTTGTTTTTGAGAAGAAAATTTCAGTTGCTGGTATTCTCAATCAATATTCAGACTGAAGATATTTCCACACAGCATTAACAAAGCAAATTTTAATTCAATTAATAATTTTATATACATTAGATTGAATACATACAAATCTATATTCAATAGATAAAACGT